ACAGAGAAAATGGCGCTTATATGACTTCCTAGGGTTTAGGAGCTTCTTTTAGTGGCATATAGGGCTTAGGGCATTTGTGTTGGTTGTTAGGTAGCAGGGAATGGAAAGTCAAATGGACGAGGAAATTAAAAACTTAAAGGCCAACGAAGCTCATGGGAATAGTGCTTTGAGGATATAATCTTACTCTATATTTTGGGTTCCAGAGCATCCCTATATAAAGTACTGCTCAATATAGGTTTTAGGGCTTGTTTGCTGATTGTTAGTAGGGAATGCAGGAACTGTAGCAAACATGGAAGCCAGCACTGGGATAAAGTAGAGACTGCTACGGGGATCTATCGCTCCACTCCCTACTGACTACTACAGCAGTTTAGGGTTTAGTGTTCAGGGTTTAGGGTCATGTAGGGATTATAGGGGATGATGGAAAAGAAAACGGAAACTACTAATTATAGCAGATTAGGGTATATATTGGGACATTTTAAAGGCTAGATGAGCTACAATCAATATTTCCTTATTTCCTACATAACCTAATGGACATGGGTTGCTCATAAGGGACTACACTAAACTACCAGAGGGACCCTCAAGTCCACCGTCAGGGGTCTCCATGAGACAGTAGCTGATATAGTTAGGAAAGCCCTCCTGCACATGCAAAGATGCAAGAGCTTGCACATCTGTCACATTCGAAAATGAACGCCGCCATTACCTGTGGCTAACAAAACCCTGAGAAACCGGAAAAAATATCTACACTGAACCCTGAAGCCTTTTTTGTTCCCCTGAACCCGAAGCCCCAAACTGTGCCATGTTGCGAAAGCTCCGAAGAGAAGGTCCTGCACATTTTCCCTTGACAATCACATCCACCCTAAACCCTAACCCTAGAAACCCTAAACCCCTAGAAACCCTAAACCTCTAGAAACCCTAAAACCAGGCTAAAGCTCCCCCATATACTATAGTAGCTTCCATTATCCCCCTACTTGGAGGTCCATTGTACTTATAACCTACTTAGTAACTGTAGTTATAACCTAAATATAAGTCCCATAATGATAGTTACCCTAGATATAATTGGGTTATAACTACAGTTACTAAGTAGGTTATAAGTACAATGGACCTCCAAGTAGAAACCCTAAACGCACCCTAAAGCCAGGCCAAAGTTCCCCAATACACTATAGCAGTTGCCATTTTATTTTCCATGACCCAATATAACCCTAAAACCTAAACCCCATATCCCCCTATAACACCCTATAACCTCTAAGACTCTAAAATCAAGCCATAGCTGCCCACTGCCCTTCGAGGACTCCGGGGCCTTGTCGTCGAGAACCACCACCGGAGCTTGTGCCTCGCACTCACGGGGTTTAGGGTTTAGGGTTTAGGGCTTTTAAACTTAAATTGAAACTGTCGGGTATTGGGGAGATATTAGGGTTATATAGGGTTTATGTAGGGATAATGGAGTATAGAACGAAAACTACTATTCAGGGTTTAGGGCTTAGGTTCTAGGGTTTAGAGCATTTTGTAAAGGGAGTAGAATGGGAACCCCAAAAAGGGAACTCCATGGTTAAAGTAGGAATAGATTAGGAAAATAAGGACCCTGGTAGATATATTCCTATTACATTCCTACTGTTCCCTGCTTTTGGGGTTCCCTTTACAGTCCCTTTATTTTGGGGGTCTCACTAATGAGTGTAATGTAGTGAGATCTATATTTGGTTCCCCTATTTATGGATTAGGGTTTAGGTCTTAGGGCTTGGAAATCATTCAGAGAAGTAGGGTACCCTGGCGTTTAGAGTTCAAGGTTATGCAGGGGTTGTATAAGAAGAGATAGTACCCCCATAAGGGAGAATCAAACTAAAAAAAATGACTATACAATGGAAACTGGGATTATCTAGGGATGCGCGGTTGCTGTTTGGAAGAGAGCTACACCAACCCTGAACCCTAAACCCTAAAACCATTTTTGCAACCGGGAGCATGTCGCCGGGCGATGTACAACACTAAAACCTAAACCCTAAAACCAAAACCCTGAACCCCCTACTTCCTAAACCCAGTTCAACATGCTCTGGCCCGCATTTTTATTGGCCACAGACTCGTTGTTACACTCAGGGACACTCCGTCCCTCCTTTCCCCGTAATCCCCTTCTGTGGACCTATCACAAAGATACATGTTTGCTAGGAATTCCTCATGGTTACACAGTTATACTATAAAAATGAAAAGTCTTAAGGAGCCTAGAGTTCCTTCCTTTCCTTCTGCATACATGCTCCCTCGCTCTACCTCAATCTCTCTACGACACACTTATTTACGAGGGCCGGGCCGAGCTGATTTCTACATGCTGACAGGCGACAGCCAAAGTGGCAGCGTCAACCTTTTGGTAGACATCCTGACACCAGCAGCAACCAGCAGCGACAACTACTGAGCTAAAGCAGCGAATGGCCTGTAACATTCTACACATAAAACCACCGGATTGCATATTTTTTGGCATGGATTCAGAGTCCAGCCGGCTGATAGGGCCTGTAACACATGCCAGGTCTTTCCATCCAAGTCTTCGGCAGAAACCTATGGACGGGCATATCAAGACAACCTAGTCACAAGTCCAGTCATGCACTGTAGCGTGCATGTGGTCATCGAGTCATGGGTGAGGCTCAATGTGTCTCAGCTGAGTTTACTATCTGCATCTCATTCGTGTCCGCTCAGAAAAACTCCTGCTGTACAACCTGCAGCGGAGGAGTTGCATACATTGACAAGGCTATCAGTGTAACCACATGTGCCCGCAGCCGCGCGTGCCACACGGGGGAATATCTGCACCTGGGAGCTTGCCGAAACTACGCCCCCCAAAATAGGCATACATCAAAAAAAGGTACATAGTCTATCTCGCGACGCGGAAGATCAAAGGACTGCAATTGTGTTACTTTCGTTTCTGTTCTTCTTACTACTGTTAGGACTTCATTTTACTTCATTTTTACGACTTGCTTTTTAAATTTTAGCTTGCTATTCCATCCCTGAACCCCAAGCCCTAATCCCGAAACCCTAGATGCCCAGCGGCCAGCTTTTTGATGCTCCAGTAGGCTTCGCCTTGTGTGTTCTCAGGGCATCTGGAGGCTTCAAAAAAATTGTGGGACTTAGGATTTACGATTTTCCGGGACATATACTGTACGGGATATGTTGGGGCTATATGGGAAGATGTAGGGATATATATGGGGATACGGAAGTGGAGACTCAAACAGAAAATGGAAAATCACATGGGGACTGGGATTCTGTAGTCTGTCAGCCGGGATTAGAGGCTTCAAGAAATCAATGATGGTTGCTTGTTGATGGCTCCTAGGAGTCTTGGGGGTATATATGCTCAGTAGGGGGAGAGTTTTGCAAGTAAATGAAAGCATTCCCCAGTACTGGCAATGCCCAAATTCAGGACCACAGCAGCAAACTTAGAAGGGCCACGCACATCTGATGAAGCTTTGGGCAAGTCTTTCCCACAGCAGACCGTCCACAAAATGTGCTTCCGGGGGTGTTACCCTAAACCCTAAACCCTAAAGCCTAAACCCTAAAGCCTAAACCCTAAACCCCTAAAACCCTAAACCCTAAACCCTTAACCCTAAAGGCCAAGCAAGGTGGGTTTCATTCATGCTCCCAGCGGCTGAAGGCCGAAGGGTTGTTCCTCACATAGTCCTGAGAGATTCTAAGGTTCAGGGTTTAGGGTTTAGGGCTTGCGGTTTAGGATTTAGGGTTTAGGGTTTAGGATTTAGGGGTTAAGGGTTTAGGGGTTAAGGGTTTAGGGGCACTGTTGAACCCCATCATCTGCATAGGTCATCATAGGTCTGCATGAGTTGATGCCGAAAAAGGGGTATAGAGGGGTTGTATATAGGGGTATGTAGGGGTATACTGCTCATTGCGGCATGGGTTTCTCGGAATGTTACTTCATGACGTCGTGTGAATTCGTCCATCTGAAGGATGCTGGGTCCGAGGAAGCAAGCTCTACATGGGGGGGGGTCCCAAAATTACGCGTACTTTTCTGGTAATCCCCATAATAACGCTCATAGTAGTTTGGGGTCTATCTCGGGAAACTACCACATCCTCTCAAAAGTTCCACGCCTGCAAACAAAGCACAAGCCCCCTTGCATACGGTTCAGGATTTGGGGTTTAATGCTTTGCGCGAAAAAGCCGAAAACATGAAACGGACACACCAAAAATTCAAGTCTCCAGTAATTAGATCTGTGATGCAATGCAGCGCAGGGTGCCATTTGGACTGTCATGAAGAGCTGTTACGTTTTTTGCCAAGTAACATGAAATTATTCCTGCAAAGTACTATACCCAACAGAAAAAATGAGCCTGCTCCACATTTGGCACCTTTAGATGTCCAAATTCAACGATTAGAGATCTGGATGGTTGTCAAAATTATGGTCCCTTTTTGGGTCCCTATTATAATATGGCCCCTAATATTTAGGGTACCCAAAAAGGGACCATAATTTTGACAACCACTCATCTAGACTCCGTGCTTAGTACCGGAGCTCCTCGCAGCTCGTCTTCAGCCATGGGCACATGGACGGAAAGGACGGGCCGGCATAGTCGCCTGAGGTCGTGAAATTTTGGGGATTATGGAAACTACTATACTGGAGTTATACAGGTATGGGGTTTAGGGTTTAGGGTTTAGGTCAGAAGAGGAAATGCGGTCCAACATCCTCCTGAAAGCCTATGCTGCACACAGGTAGCACCCTAAACCGTAAACCCGAAAATGACTGGCTGCTTGCCATCCTTTGTAGGAGAACTGGAGGGTCAGGAGGGGAGTGGTGGAGGTTTCATGGGACATCCTCCTGAAGTAGGAGTCACAGCAACCATTATTGTCGCATGATCTCCAGGAGGTTAATGATGCACATGAGCCATAGTCTAACGTCCTAGAATCCCCCTCAATAACCCCTGATCCCCTATATAATGCCTTGTACAACCCCTTTAAGGAGTTTAGATTATGATGCACATGGACGCTTGAGATTCTCTTGACTTCCGTTGCTGTACCGTCCAAAGCTTGGCTAGTCGCCACAGAAGGTGGTGTCGAACACCATGCGCATATTCTTGAAGTGGTCCGCGGTGCACCTTCCCCAAACCCTATAAACCCTAAACAGTAGTTTCCATTCTCTTTTCCATTATCCCCTATGTAACGCCCCCTAGAACCCCCTCCTCTATAACTCCATTGCAAGGGCAAGCACATGCAAAGCGAAAAAGAGCGTGGGTACTGCTCCAGTAACATACTAGGGATCATATGACTGGTTGTATTTAGCAAGAATTTTGAAGTTCTCCAACTGTTCCTGAGTGCCTAAACCCTAAACCCTAAGCCCTCCTAAACCTGGGGGCAGCATCCAAAAGAAGAGCCACCATCGTTCATTCAGTGTGAAGAATGAGTTCGGCGTGCCCCACCTGAGCTGCAACTTCTGTTCAATTGTGTCAGGGTCGCCTGTTTTCCGTGCAAAGCCTAACATTGGGGTTTCATAGGGACACATATGTATATATATATATATGTACATACATCTATGTGCAGGGATATATTTACCAAATACTGGAACCATACGAGAGCAAGCAAATGGGAAAATGAGATGGAGACTAGGGTTGCTCAAGGCTTTCTTGCTGCTTCCGAGACACATGTCTGGCTGCGGACTGCTTGCCACCAAGTCGATTGGTTCCTTACCCGCGGGGAAGAACCACGTCCGCATGAACTTCCGAACCTGACGCGGTCTTGAAACACCCGCACTCTTTCACAATAGACGCCGGTGAGGATCCAGAAAGTGGCTTCTTCTGAAGGATTCCTAGAAATGGCCCAGTGGCAACCGAAATTGGGGGCCTAAACCCGTAACCTTATAGATCCTCCCAGGCGTCTCACTAGCGAAATGTGAGCGTCGGGCCGTCCGGTCCCATTCTGCGACGAAGGTTCCACCTGCTTGAGGGTAAGATCCAGGGATGCATAGAAACTGTACAGGGGATATGCAAGGGTTGTTTCGGGGCGTTTTTCATGTAAGGATATATCATCCGATAAGAGGTGGTCCCTCAGCTACTCTACTTCAGGAGGTGAGGTACCCTAGAGCGGTGTAGGTCATCCTCCATCAACAGTACGCTGTCAGCTCCTGTCAACTTGGAGCAGGCTGCCTGTTCAAGGCTTAGGACCGTGCGACAAGCTCTGCAAGCTCTGGATGTTTTTTTAACACACAAACTCAACACCAAAGCCTAACCCTATATAACCCCAATATATACCCTAACATAACCCATTATAGTAGTTCCCATTTTCTTTTCCATTATCCCTATATAGCCCCCCCTTCACACGCCTTTTCTGGGTGCATGCCTCGGCCAGGGGAGGTTTTGTACTCCATGACGGGCAAAAAGCCCACGTTAGTCCTCTCTCAGACGGCCTCATTACGCTCTGGATGCTTTAGGGTTTAGGGATGCATCCCGACCTTCGGAACCAACAACAGCATACACATCTTGCCCTAAGTAGATACATTGGGAAACACGGGGGCATCTCTACTAGTCATCACAAGACACTATATGAGCTATAGTCTAAACTTCTAGTATCCCCCTTAATGAACCCCTATACTATTCCCCTATGTAATCCCTGTATAAACCCCTTTTAAGGAGTTTAGACTATAGCCATAGCTCATACAACATTTCCTACTCATAACTTGGTTGTTCATCCCTAGACCTGAGTCCTGCCTTGGTTCTTGTTGAAGTCGGGACCGAAAGATCCCGCCGGCAACTTCTGTCCACAGCCCTGGTTGTTGTACTCCTGGGGGGCTTTCACCTCGTGAACATGTTCAATGACACACCTCCGAGCTGAGGCCAGGGGATAATAAGGATGACATACTTTTGATGGATGAAATCTTGCACCACCCAGGGGCCCTAAACTACTATGATTCCTAGGACTTCAGGGACCTTAGGTGGTGCAAGATTTCCTCCATCAACAGTAGCAATGTATGATTTTACTACTGATGCTAGTCACCCCTGTGGTTTTGGAGATGCCTGGGCTCTTTAGCTCCTTAGCTCCCCCAAAAGTATGGGTAGTTGCAACTAAGCAGCGGTGGCCCTTTTTTGAGTTCAGGCCAGCGCGACAGCGATTAGCTCAGCTGGCACACAAGCTCCGCTCTGCGTGCTACCCAAAAGAAGATACACTTTAATATACCTTAATATAATACACTGTAATACACTAGAATATACTGGATAAGCCCTATAATCCATATAGTTTCCATTGTTCCATTGTCTTTTGCATTATCCATATGTAACCCCACAAAAGCCATAGACACCTGGCCCACCCTAGCTGCTTAAACACGATCCAGAAATTGGAAAAGCTTACAAGAGGCAACTCAGGGAGCGAACGCCACACCAAACCAAAAAAACAAGGTGGGGTTTACGGTTTTAGGGTTTAGGGTCATCCTCCCAACTGGCAGGAAAGCACCCAAAGCTGAGAATCATCCCACGCCTCCAGAAAAACCTGTAGGGTTTAGGGTTTAGGGGTTTAGGGTTTAGGCTTTAAGGTCAAACCTGGCAATCTTGTTTCTCAAACACCTACCCCCAAGAAAGATCATCCTCTTTCACATGCACATTAACGAAATGCCCTTCACCTAACCTCCTCTCTATATGATCTTTTTACAGAGACCCTACATAGCCCCGTATATGTCCCCAACATCATCTCTTTCATTGGACATAGGTCTGGACTGCAAGCACAAGTGGCCCAGCAGTTTTTCGCTTTGTTGGTCCCAAGCGTTCCAGAAGCCCACCCTGGTCTCCAGAAGGGGCTCCCAAGGACACGGGCTCAGGGTTTAGGATTGAAGGGTTTAGGGTTTAGGGATTGAAGGGCTTAGGGTTTAGGGTTTAGGGTTTAGGGATTGAAGGTTTAGGGTTTAGGGCCCAAGGGCCCACATGATGACAATACGGGTTCATGTGGTGTTGAGGAACTTAGTTTAAGTTACTCTGATGAGGAAACCATAGTATATAGACCTACTATGGTAGCGTAAGTCAAGTTCCTTAACTGCAACCTGGATTAACAACAGGCAAACCATTAGGAAGGACAATGGTAGTAGGCGCGATGATGGTAGTAGTAGTAGTATTACTGGTAATGGCAATAATATCAATAATGAGAATATCCGCGAAAACCAGACCATTGATAATAAAAATCGCAATGACCATGATAAGAACAAGGCCGTTTATCCATCAATACTGGGGTAGTTGTAGCCTCACACCCTCGACCTAAGCCCCAAGCCCGAAACCCTAAAGCCTAAGCCCTAAACGCTAAACCCCTAAACTCTACATCCCCTAAGTCCTAAACCCTAAGCCCTCAACCCTTAACCTTAAACTATAGCAGTTTCCATTTCTTTCCATTACCCGAATATATACCCAAAATTCCCCTTATAGCACTAGATTACCCCCATATTACCCCTAAACCCTAAACCTTAGACCCTAAACGCTACACCTTAAACCCTAAACCTCAAACCCTAAACCCAGGCGAAAGCATGAAATCTTGCCATGTGCGGGTCCGGTACCTTGGCCCACGAAGTCGATGCCGTTGTTGACCTCACGCCTTGAGTATATGTAGGCTCCCTTTGAAAGGGTTCTATATATATTTATACATACATACATTCATACATACATACATACATACATAGATATATATATATATACATACACTGTGAAATGTTGTAAAGCTTGACGGCAAAATACCGGTCAATATATATATATATATGTATATGAAACTGCAGTTGTGAACTGGTGAGGATTTTGAGCTTGTTGGCTAGGCATGACAGACGTTGTTGGATATGCCTCGTGCAAAACTGACGTCAGTCTACACTCAGCCCAGCGCTGGTCACAGCTCGCTCGAGTGTGCAACGTCGTTGTGGCCTCGCACACGCACATCTTCCCAAGTCACGGTTTGCAAAGACGAGCTCCCTGCCAAGTAGTAGCAGGTAGCTTATTGGAGGTCAGGGGACTTTGTGCGTAGGTTCATAATGGAGGGAAGTGGGGTTACTACATGGCTTTAAGAGTTGTAAGCCTCCAAGTATGCAGCTCAATCTGGGCGGCTGTTCAGGAACTTAAATTCAATTACTATAGTCAGAAACCCCATTATCTACTACTTGCCCATCATATGGTCACTTACTTAAGTACCTTAACAGCAGTACGTAAAGTCAATTTCATTGCAAGGAGCAAAGTTTTCCATGTGGATGGACTCAAGGATGTCATACTCCCCCCACCGGGGCCAGGAATGTTGAGCATCATCGCCAAACATCCAAAAGGCAGGCCAAGCTCCATTTAGGTATAGTCCCCCTTAAGTAGATGGAATATGGCTTTGGGTATATTATGATAAGATCCCCAGATACTCCATATTCTATCTACTTAAGGGGGACTATAGGTTTTAGGGTCTAGGGTTTAGGGCTTAGGGGTTTAGGGCTTAGGGTTTACGGCTTCGGGGGGTTTGGGGTTTAGGGTTTAGAGGGTTTAGGGCTTAGGGGGGTTAGGGTTTAGGGTTAAGGGGGCTTTAGGGTGCAATGCAGGGAGTTTCCAGGAATGGGGGTCCCTTTTGGCATCCATAGTTTGATACGGCCCTTGTATATTTACGTAGGGTTTAGTGTTTAGGGGGTATGCAAAGACAGGACCAAAATGTTGACAACTCCCTATGTCGCATGTGGGACTGATGCAACAGCCTCCAAACATGCAGTCCCTTGGGGGGATGCACAAATCGCGGGACCCCTAGATTGACTCAAAATACTCTAGTCCGTAATGTAGGTACACCCAAAAGGGGAGCCCCAATTTTAGGGGTTTGGAAACTCCGAAAAAGCACTTCCTTGCAAGCCAAGGATCCACAGGCGGTAGGGACATGATCCAGCGTGAGCACAAACAAGCCACTATTGTAGCCTCATACCGGGTATAGACAGGGGATATGTGGGGGCTATATGAGAATCTATAGGGATATATCATCCCAATCCCAATAATGGAGAATCAATTGGAAAAGAACATAGAAAATAAAGGAGAAACTGCGATTCTGAAGTTGTATATAAGGATTGGGATTTCCCAAAATTTGGGGTACCTCTTTGCGGGTCCCTACAGTGTAGAAAAATATTGCGATCTTTGTTTGGCCCCCATGAATGTATACATATATATATATATGTGGCAGAGTATAGGAACTACCATGTGAGCGCATTCAGAACATGGTGTTGCTCTTGACACAAGTGCTTCTGCGTCACTATTCTTGCTCTCGATCCTCACGGCTCTTCTGCCGCCTGGCACTGACATCGTAGAATGATGCAGGAAAAAAGGTTGACATCCGCAAATCAAAATGGGCTTTCCATGACTCACCCTGCCTAGAACAAATGCCTTGCCACAACTTAGCAGCACGCAAATCTGCGGGTATACAAGAAGCCGCCGCTATTGCACCAGTTCTAGAAACCCAAAGCTTGCACTTACAAATGCAAATGTACCTAGAAAAGCAGATGCTGAACAGCAGCACAATTAGTCAAGTCAGCTAAACCCTAAGCACTAAACCAGCGCCAGCGACCCAGCCTGCATCGCCCAACTTGGTTGTGTTGTCCACGCCCATGTAGACGCCCAGCTCAGCAAGGCAAAGACTGCAACCGTGCTCCACAAATCAGTCCGTTGCAATATGACATCATCATATACAAGGGGAAAACCCCAACATAGTACCCGTATATGTATTAGGGGGAGGGATGCCATACCATTCTATATTGGGGAGTATATTCATTATACAGCAAGTAACTTGAGAAGTTTCTAACAGAACGGACATGCCGGCGCCACTTTAAAGTCTTCCAAGGTACTGATGATGCGTAGACCAGCTTGTCGTTCCAAGCATCTGCTTCTGTGGTGAACTGAACCTCAGCAAGGGATAACATAAGGTTCGCAATACCTTTCGTACTCCCGACCTTCGACCTTCAATATTGCTAGACTGCTTGGCCCTGGATCAGCTGAACGATCACCCTTGCTGAGAGATGTTATAAGACAACTGGGTTGCTGTTAAGGGCCTTGGATCAGGTTACTATGATTGGGAACCCCATTACTTACCATGTACCCATATTATAGTAACTTATCTAAAGTTCCTTAACAGCAATCCGGACAAGCTCGAAGCAAATTGCTGTCGCAGCCCCAGTTATTGCAGAGCTGCCGTGCCGTGGGTAGGGTCCGGTCCCGAGTAGAAGTTCCAGGATTGGAAAAAGTTAGGCCCAACCAGCCGCTCAATCAGGGAATACCTTCGCCACGCGAGCTATAGTCTAAACTCCTTCGAGGGGGTTATATAGGGGATGATATTGGGGAGCATTGTACGGGTTACTGAAGGTCATACTCGGAGTTTCGACTATAGCTCACACAACAGCTGGATTAATGCGAGGTAGTCATCAAGAACACAAAGCAGCAGTTGAGGGCTCCAGAACAACTAACCAGAAAGCCGCTGGGACCGTGATTGACCACTTAGGCTACGACCACGACCATCAGGAAAACTGCACTTGCACAACGAACCCCTTAACCATAGGGGTCCAAATAGCCCAATGAAGGTAATTTCTATAGACTTTAGGGCCCAATGTAGGTTTATTTGTATACTTGGATCATCAACACCATCACCGCCATTGCCGCAACCTCCACTTCCACCGCCCACCAATGCAACTGCAGCCATCGCCTCCATAAACACCACCTTTGCTACCAGGATGGCTACAAGGGTTTAGGGTTTAGGGAATGCAGCAGTACCACACCAAACTACACCAATCGTTACACTCAAGGCAACTACCAGGGACAGCAGCTGCAGCGGAAGCAGAAACATTAGGGCAGCAACAATGAGGCATTTTGAAAGGAAAGGGGAGGAAGCAAACACCCAGGTCACCTAGAACTGGCTGGTAGTCAAAATTATGGTCCCTTTTTGGGTCCCTATTATAATACGGCCCCTAATATTTGGGGTACCCAAAAAGGGACCATAATTTTGACAACCACCCAACTGGATCCAACCGCCCTGGACGCAGCAAGCTGTGGTTACCTCCGTCCAGCCATTGCCGCGTCTCAGTGTTGTGGCTTAGGGTTTAGGGTTTAGGGTTCAGGGTTTAGGGATTAGGGTCCTGTATCACCGAAGCCTATGAAGTAATCCTCTACATGAATCCAGTTTCCATTTCATTGCCCATCCTCTTGTCCATTTGATTCTCCATGATTGGGGGTAATATCCCTAAACCCTAAACCCTAAAGCCTGAATAGTAGTCTCATTTTTCTTTTCCATTATCCGTATAAAACCCTAAAACAATCCTGATATAACCCCTATACTAGCCCCTATATAACCCTACAACTGAAAGGCTCTCCCGCCTCAGGACTTGCGCGCGCGCAGCGCGCAGCAGCAAAGCTGGCAGAAAAGGGGTCTAGGGTTTATAGCCCCCCTTACGTGGATAGAATATGGGGTATATTGGGATCTTATCGTAATATACCCAAAGCCATATTCTATCTACTTAAGGGGGAACTATAGGGCTTGCTGCAGCTGCTTCGAGTTTTTTCGCAATTCTCTTAGTTAAGGACAGCCAGCTTCTCTCATTGGCAACCTCCGGCCAAACAACGGCAGCTTGTGACATTCCAGGAGCAAACCCGGCGGACGTACTACCCAAATGACTCTCACAGCGAAATGCGCGAGCGCCTAGCAAAACACAGTGAGGAGCCATGGCGCCAGCGCCACTTGGCCCCAAGCCCCTCACTGAAAGAGCTTAGGACGCTGCGGACGTGCATATTTATAATACCCACATGCATACATCTAGCATAAGTTTAATGATGAAGCCCGTGACGCGGAACATGCCGTCCTTCCAAGCATGGACATGTTGCATGCTGAGCACAGACACAACTCTGGCGCCAGGATGAATAATCCGACGCCTCATCTCGAAGCTTTTCATCTTTATGAATGACAATTCACCAGACCCTTTGCCAGTTACGGACTACAAAACCCTAAACCCTAACCCCATTTTAGTAGTTTCCATTTTCTTTTCGGTTATGCTATATTATAAGCCTTCAGACACAAACACGGCCATGCTTTTCTTGCGGTCTATTCCAGTTTGTGTATGGTTTCTGTGGACTGTGTAGAATGATATTCTACGCATGTGAGTAGATAATGATGACGGCCTTTGCAGTATCACATGTGCAGGCGCATCTAAACGACGCCTGCAGCATCTTCCTGCAAGTAGACCTGCCGCTAAAAACTATGAGTTTGGTTGCACTGTACATACAAAGGCCAGCTGCTGCCCATTGGGAGAGCAGGCATTTGAAGCCGAAGGGTAGCAGTCGGTTGTCGACTGCCCGGCTATGCAGCTTTCTGGCCATCCCGCGCATCCCACCACCTGGGACTTCATCTTTCTAAAGACTTTTGGAGGGACCCCTAATAGGGACCCTTGTAGCTTGTAGGGNNGGGATATAGGGGTTATTTAATGACTATATGAGGGTTATATATGATAATGGGATTAAGGGTTCCTATTAGGGGTCCCTCCTAGCGTCTTGAGGCAAGTTTCAGTATCAGATGAATGCTTGAACAATGAATGCCCCATACGGACCCCCATAATCCCCTCATTATCTCCATCTATCACTCGGGAACCTATATTCATTCTGTGACTACCTTCCCCTGATGTTGAAAGCCCCCCCAACCCCCAACATATTGAACATTACCACTGTGGCCTGCCAGAATATTTTCGAAAGATTGAGCATTAGAGGGATGCTGGTTCTGATATTGGACCCCAACCCTGAAATTTGCATAACATAGTAGTTGCCATTTTCTTGTCGGGGGCTTTCATAACAGAGGGAAGACTACCCCGGCAGGCCTCAGCCAAAAACTCTAGACCCTACAACCCCAAGCACTAGACCCTAAACATCCCTAAACTTAAAACCCTAAATCCCAAACCCTCTTGCAACAGGCTTTCGGAAACCATAAACCCTACACCTTGGGTACTGCCCCCGCTCAGTAACAGTTGGATAATATCTATAATATACTTATATATAGCCCTTAATATGACCCATAGTACACTGTTGCTGGGTGGGGGCAGTACCCAACCTACACCCAAAGCCTAAACCCCCAAAAAACTTCAAGCCCCAAATCCCAAACCCTCTTGCAACAGGCTTTCGGAAAACCATAAACCCTACACCCAAACCCTAA